TTTTCTTGAGAGAGCGGCATTTTATGTAGTAGTGGTGAAAAAACAACGTGTTGAAGAATGATTGTAGAAGATGGGCGCGAAAATGGACGGGACGGCCGTGTGGACGGCTCGGCCGTGGATTACGTTATCATTAACTGCTAAGATGACAAAGCAATCAAGTCGCTGATGCGCATCATCACAGTGACAACGGCGAACTATTCCGAAGCAAGCCATGACACGTAACGGTCCCCGAACATGACAGGGATGGATGCAACGGATGCAGTAGTCGAACTGGAAATCAAGAATTAACTTCAAATTGACGGCTGCCAGACTGTCAGAAGTTGCATTTCTTAACATTGCGCTGTTGTCGAGCCGACCCTCGGACGTGACTTGCTCAATTGTTGTAATTGAGCTGACAGCCTGACAGCCTGACAGCCAGAACCTTAAGAAGCCAAGTAGTCAAGGACTGACAATTGTCTTGTCTTGTCTTGTCTTGTCTTGGGTTTACTCGCTGATCGGCGGGAGAATTGTAGAAATATCTTGATTCAACTGTGTGACCGTAGTCTAACCACACCATGAAAGTTCGCACAATCTAGAGCAGTATCAACATGCTTGCTGTACTGAGCATAGTGATACCGTGTGACTGTAAGTAGACGGCGACCAAGAAAGACATGGATAAGCCAAGGTCCTTGCTTAGTCTAATGATTATGATTATTGATCACTCTTTGTCCCCGATCCGTTGACTTGACGTAGAAGCAAAGTCAAGACGTACCTATTCAGAAGTGCCTAAGCGTCCGTCCATTTTCAAGTTCAAATAAAGAATCGGCAGATCTCCAAGAATGATTTGGAATTCATCCCTGACAATGTTCAGGTGATCTGCCCTGTTCCTCTAGATAGCTCTAGATTTCGCTTTTCTCTCTCCGTAGGGCCGTAGCGTCAATTGATGTCAGCCAAAGGGTACTTTTGTCCCGAATTTCGCCATGCCATGCTCAATCGGGTAAACGGTAAGTCCTTCCTGTTCTGTTTCTCGGCCTTAGCGATTTGCTGACAGTCCTAACTCGTGACTAGGGAGTTGCTGAGAAGAACGATCGTCAAGCTACGGCATAATACAATGTGTGAGTGACTCGGTCTTAGCGTGTTGCCAGCAACATAGGAATTTACTGGATGCAGAATCATGCAGCTTCAGTCAATCAAAATCATCAATTCTGGCGCGGTATCGTCGGCTGCATTATGAACCATCCCTGAAACTCCATGCGAAAGAGAAAAGCAAAGACAAAACTGTACAGTACATGCAAAACGGCAAACGGCAGACAGAGCCGTCCTGGGCCCACGATTCTCTCATTCAACTGAATGAGAGACAGGGCCCGAGGAACAGGCTGCTGAATGCAAAGAAAAACATCAACCCAACACCCAAACAGAAAGCCACACCTCGCCCATCCGCTGTACACGGGGTCAAGGGGGCAGATACAGGAACCGACAAGACCTTCCTTGCGCCGCGCTCTAGTTACATGAACAAAAGAAACAGCCGATGAAAATTGCCCACAGCCGCAAAAGCAACACCTCGCAGACCTTCACCAGGCATAAGAACAAGGAGAACTGCTTTCACAGCCCCTTGTTCCACACCTCCACCCAACTATCAAGTGCTTGCTTGGCAGCTTGGAGGGATTGAATCGCAGCGAGCCACTTGGTCTCGGCGTCCTCCAGCTTCTGCTGCAGTTCTCTGCTGAGAACCGCATGCACCGACAGATGGGCGGCTCCTTCCAGATTGTTCATCGGGAAGGAGGGTAAAGGCCGCGCCCCGGGAGCTGTGGCGGGGGACCTGGCAGCAGCGGGCGCCACGACGGGTGCTGGAGTCGCGTTGCGAACTGCCGCCTGCTCAACGGCTTCAACATCGCGCTCCGCCTTTGGCTTTCGCCCCCGTCGGGTTCGCTTCCGTGGAGGGTTGGACGCCTCCACGGAGCCGGTCCCTTCGACGCTCACAGCGGCTGCGGGTTTCGATTCGGTCGCGCCCGAAGACGCTTCCTCCTCGACTTCGGCAAACTTGCGTTTGCGAAGTCCGCCCTGGGCCTGCCTCTTTGCGACAGAGGCACCAGCTTCGGATCCGGCGGGACGAGGGGCGGACTCCGTCACGACCTCCTCGTTTTTGCCCTTCAACCGAATCCGAAGGGGTCTCTTCGCTGGTGGGGGAGCCTGGTCCTCCGCGCCCACCGAGGCAGAAGTGTCGCTGCCATTGCCAGCGTCATCCCCGACACCGACGTGTGCCTCTGCTTCCCCCCTCTTCCGTTTCCGGGAGGGGACGTTGCCTTGAAGCAGTCAGTTCGTCGCGATCAAGAGAGAATGTAAGGAAGAAGGAAACTTACTGTCATCGTCTTCGATGACCTGACGGTGCGTGCAACGTATTTTTGACTTCTTGCAGTTGGCACACGCCGGCGTCATTTTTTTACCATCGGCGCCTTTGGCCGCCGATGGCTGGATGCGCCGCTAGAGGATCGTCAGCATGAACGTACCCCGGAAGCAGAAAGCGAGTCAGATACTAACCTTGCGGCTGCGGGAGGGCTGTTCGCCCTCCTCCACACTAGGGGCCCTCTCGCTCCCAGCGGCTTCCTCAGCCTCGGACTGGGGATTGGCGACGGGCTCGCCGGCATGGGACGCCTTCTCACTGTGGGTGTTTGCCGTGTCAGCTTCAAGCTTGACCCTGGCACAGGAGAGGCACATGCTGGTCACCATGCCGACGAAACCCTTCGCGCGAGGGGCCCCGCACTTGACACAGAGCGCGTCTGCTTGCTCGGACATTGTGGTCTTTTGAGCTGACCTGTGTTAGAAAATGTCGCCAACAGATTCAACCGATCGACAGGTATCTCACCGATGGATGGAGCTGTGCAGACGACTTGTGTTAGCGAGCTGAAACGACACCAGGACGTCGATAATTGACTGGTCACTTACCAGAGACAACAAGCAGAAGCTTGATTGATTGAGAGTCTTGATAGCTTGAAGAGCAGGATATGGAGGAATGATGGTTATGATGGTAATGATGGTGGAGAGAAGAAGAAGAGAAGGAGAGAAAGAGAAGGAGAGATGGGAGAGGCCTTAAATATTCAAAGGCGCGAGGCTAACAGAGCAAGGTAAACAAGATGGTGAATGTTCAACTGAGATGGATGCGCTGTTGATGCTGCTGGAGCGGAATATTCCATCTAAAATCGACAGCAGGCTCCACTCTGAGTGGGAAGCAGGAGAGACTGAGAGGCTCAATTCACTGCTCTCTGGAATATCGACTCATCTAGCCCAATTTGGACGACATATGCTCTTATCAACAGGATATTCAGGGCCTGACCCGGAACTGGATCGTCCGGATAGTGGAGCATGGAAGGGCTGGGAAGCCCAAGACCTGCTGAGGCTCTTTGATATTCACTCATCTGCTCTATATCCAGTAACAAGGAAGCCACAGCAGGACAAGACCCCTGTCTGTTCAATCAGCCACAGCATAAAGGAAGAAAAAGAGTGAAGAAAGTTCTACATTATCACACAGTATGTCATAGAATAGCTGAACAACGTATTAGACTGCTTCGCTTCGCTCCACCGTGAGCCCAAATCACTGCGTCTATGGCCATAACTCAGTCTCGTCCCATCGAGCATCATCACCAGTCCCACCAACAAGGGTCCAGTTCCACCGCTGTGGCTTCTTGTAGTCTGAAAGATCCAGCCGCTCGACCTCATTAGCGCGAATGACAACCACGCGAAAGTTCCCACGCGCAACAGGGTCATGCAGATCCTCCAACTTCTGACCAAGCTTGAGGTTGGGATCAGTGGGTGCTTGCGATCTCGGCGTCCCAGGCGGAGGATTCTTGAACGAGCCTATGCACCACATCAGTTTTCCCCTCCAGTCAACAAATATAAACAAGCACAAGCAACGCAACCGACCTCTAAGAATAGGCGTATGGTTCGCAAAATACGTCGTCACCTGCCTCTCCCAGCTCCACTCCCCCTCCTTCTCCTCGCACCCCTCACAAACCCTCAATCCCCTCCTAATCTCCTCCCTAGCCTTTTCCTCCCGCTCACCACCCGCCGGATCCCCAATCACAAACGCCTCCCCCCTCACCCGCCACTGATTGCCCACATCCTTCAACCAAAACACCGCCTCAACGACATTCCCCGATCCCTCGAGCTGGCCGACCTTCTCCATCCGCACATCCGTCGTAAACGAGATCATCTCGCTCTCGTACACAGCCGGGTTCTGGCGCTCGTTCTGGGACGCCAGGGTTTCAACCGCGCTAGAATGTAGTTCTGGATTCGGGAACCAGCCTCGGAAGCCGCAGGTGCGGGTGCGCGGGACGGTGCGGCCATCTGCATCAAGCGCGACGGTTGCGACGTTGAATTCGGAGAAAGAGGAGTTGGAGAGGTGGGATTGGAGGGTTGAGTGCCAGGGTGCGCGGGGCGGCATTTTTGCTGACGATGATGATTCTGAGGCGGCTGACGTAGCGGATAAGGATGTAGACTGGCGTTGTAGTTGGAGGGCTAGGGAGGAGAGACGTTTGCTACAGATGTTTCGAGCCACTGTGTGTGGTGCGGATTGCGGGGTTAGAGATATTGATTGATGGGGGTTATTCTGTTGTTTTTTCCCTGCACAGTCAATCGGGAATCTAGCAAGTAGAGTCAATTGGAATATATATCCTGTGCTTGAAACATCAAGCCATGTAGTCAGGCGGATGATCGAAATTGTAGTGTCTTCATCGACGACTGAAAACATTGATGACGTTGAGGCCGATCTGTGAGGCACGTGCTGTTATCTTATCAGATTAGAAGTCTTGGCATCAAATCAGGATCATTCCGCTTCGATCAGGATGAGATCAGTCTCTTCACTGTGTTCTCATATTCGAGGAGCATTGACTTTTTGAGAGCATACAACATGGCAGAGGTCTGTCTATTTTCGACATACATCAGGCCATTAACATTTCGTTCACAACGACTGATGCAAGTCAACTAGCTGCTTATTCTTGTGCCGTCTGGCCCGATATTGACCAATCTAGCTATGCTCAACCTGAAAGAGCTTTTGTATTGTGCTGCTGAGGAACACGCATAACTCCGAGACAAAATCCCAATAGAATGAACCACATGTTGCCTCTCATGCCGAGCCTTCAAAAAGATAGTCGACCACAAAATTTCCGTAATAGAACAAGTGAAACTCAACGCCGGTCCGAATTCACATCTGCATCTGATTCTCATCGTCGCTGTCCTCACCGGCATCAAGAGCGCCTCCGGGTATCCGCCCTTCGTTCAATTCCTTCTCCAGTCTAGTAATCTCCTGTAGACTTCTCGCCTCGCGGATCATCTTTTCGACCCGCTTCCTCTCCTTCTCGGTCAACTTGACCCTAACAGCCTTGTCCGCCGCTGCTCGCTCTGCGCCGCCAGATGGTACGTCAAAGGTACGAGATTTGATGCCCATAATCTTGGACGCGAGAGCCGAAGGTTCTTCGGCAGTGCCAAAGAGCTCCTTCGCCTTTTCCCGCTCCGCATCTTTCACTTTCTGGTAGTCGAGGAACCGGACGCTTGGTATCCGCCAGATCACCCAGTATCGGTAGTGCTATAATAATCAGCCACTCTTCCTTCAGAAGACGCGTTGTAGTAGCATGAAACATCGGATATAGTATGGAACGTGTGCTGAAAAGGTAACGCAGCTCACCTCTTTCCGTGTAACAGGGTTCTCCAGCAACACCAGATGAGTCAAGTGTGTCAAGTTTCGGAGGGGGTCCAAGTCCGCCAACTCGGACATATTGTTTGCCGTGAGTACCAGCGTCGACAGGTTGGGTATGGTAGAAGCTATCGTCGGCTGAATATGCTTCACTCGATTGCGCGCAAGAAGGAGGGTGTGGAGACGAGGAAAGAAGGGAAAATTCCCCAGGGAGGAAATATCGTTATCCGTAAAGTCGATCGCATCTTGGTCCTATTGCCTATGAGCCTTCTCCTATGACTAGCAAAGGAATCAAGCCCAGAGGCTCAATGTTTCGATCCGAGACGTACCTTCGCAACACCCAGGTTTTCAATGGTGGGAATCTTGTGCCCTACATAATTCAAAATAGGAATCGATATCAATCCAGCTCATTTCAAAAGTGTAGTATCTGTCCTTTTCAGGCCTAAGGTGCAAAACCCACCTCGAAGGTCTAGCTCGCGATCCTTGAGCGGATTGATGTAGGAAAGGGAATTCTGAATGAGTTCGACGGTCAATCGCATTGCGGCGGTGGATTATTACTGCTGTTCCTCTATTGGGGTATCATACACGCAAATAATGCGCAGGAGCGGAACAAAAGGGAGGAATAATAATTCGAGATGAGAACAGAGCAATTGAAAATCAGTCGAAGAGAGCGGAGATTGGAGCCGAAGCTCTTTACGCATGGCTGAATTATTGAAGCAGCATTACCTCAAGATTTTGCCGGGCGGTGAGGTTGACTGACTCGGCCGTCTAATGAATGCACGTGACGTTTATGGAGTGTGATCGTGTCAAGAAACATCCAGTATTTCAGCTTATTATGGAGGTGTTATATAGGTGATTTCGAGTCTATGATACATGAAACCTCATTAAAACGTACAAGTAGCAAAATTCATTCCAAGGGAACGGCTTGTAGAAAGATATCAGAACAAAAGCAGCAGCTATGTACTCCGGAGCACAAGCCCATAATATAGAATGAGGAAAAAAAGAAAGCCATTCAGCTTGTGAACCGAATCGAATCGAGGGTTGACATGGAAGTCCGGGTCACTGAAAAAAGTCTTCAGGTGCAAACAAATGACAATGGAAACCATGCCATAACTCCAAAGGATATGCAAATTAAAAAGTATGATCATACAGAGACATTAGTCTTGATCTAGGGGCGTCATATTGGGTGATCTGTGAGATCTTGTCGGACTGCCTGCCCTAGAGCGACGGCCGTTTGTGGTCGGGCCCAACGCCACTGGAGCCAGGTGATCCCTGCTCTCCGTCCTCACGACCAACCCGGCACGATCCATGGCATTGACGCCAGAATCGGCGGTGATTCCCAGCCCGATGGTCGATGTGGACGAATTGTCCAACCCAAATTTGAAACTAGGTGTGGTTGGACCGCTCCAGCTTGTTGTTCGCTTCGGAGGCATGAAGCTACTCGAATCCGTATCAGAGGAGTGTCTTCTGTCCAGTGAGCCACGACCGGAGCCTACCACACCCAGGTCAAATTCATTGGCACCGTCTTCAAGAACGCGCTCGTATGAATGTGATCCGCCGCCGAAGAATGGTAGTTTCCCAGGGAAGGTTCTTCGCTTCTTGGGGTAGCTCGGACGAGGCGGGCCTCCACGCTTGAAGAGACTTTTGAACATGTGGTAAACTCTCAGTCGACGACTCCGACCGCAGAGGAAGAATGCAGCCATTGCAATAATAATCAAGAAAAGTAGGAATCCCGGTACCCTGCGCGAGGAATCACCATCAAAGAGCGCATCGTGCCAATTCGTAACATGAAGCGACTCATTGTTGGGAAACAATTCGACGCTAGGGTATTGGAAGTCATTCGGTACACCTGGAACGTTGCTGCCAAATCCAACCGGAAGGGTTTCTTGAGCTTCTTGAACTTCCACTGGAACCTCAGAGGATGCATAGAGCACCATTTTACCCAGTGTCCAGCTAACCTCGATGGAGTCAATCTTGTGAACTGCTTGGAAAGGATCAAGGAATCCTTTCTCCTTGCCATGGGAGAGAACTTCCTTGGTCCCATTGTGACCGGAACCAGTAGTATCTTCGAGACCCACACGAGGGATACCGATGCCGTCGTGCAGCATATTGATGATCCATGAAGCCTTGAAGCAAACCTCAGAAGCCGATTGCCGATCAACCTTCTTTCCCCATGACTGCTTTTGTAGACCTTGTTCGATGGCTTCCCAATCTTGTGAACAGAACTGTTGTACCCGCTCTTGATAAGTGTTGAAGTCGTAAGCTTTGTCCTTGTGTCCCATTTCAAAGATCTCATGCGTCGTATGCCAGTACTCGCTAATACCGATAAAATGATTCACATCAAAGTCAATAGCAGGGACATGCACTCCGTGAAGAAGGCAAGGTGTATCCGAACAGGGCGCATCCTTGTCCAAAAGCGGGTATGTTTGTCGCAAGCATTCATCGAATCGCCCAGTTCCCAGCAGAGACAACTCCGCGATGTCGTCGGTCGGGAGAGGTTTGCCGTCAATTGTGGTTCGGAGTCCATTGGGGAGACAAGGGTCGGGAAGTTCCTTAGCGGTTCCAGCTGCGGTTTGTAGGGCCTCCAAATAACGCCTCCGAGCTTCGTGCACGCCAAATTCAAGCCAAGATGTTACGAAAACCCGGTGCTCCTGGGTGGAACCGTCAATGTTGCGCAGCCGAAGTAGAGTCAGATCGTTCGCGTGTTTCTCGGTTTCGGTTATATTGGGCGCAAAGGCAATTTGCGCGGATGCGCCACCCATATCCAAGAACCCATAGGTATGATGGCCCTTGCCATGATCATGCCCTTTCGGCTCATCGAAGCTGCCCAGCAAGTAATTGGTCGCAATCCATCCATAGAGGGCCTCTGTCACACCCGGGATGACCTGAATGTGCACGCCGCAATCAGGAAGCAGAAAGTCATAGTTCTCGCTGGCGTAGGAGCAGATTTGTTTCAATAGAAGCTCGCGTTCAAAATCGGGCAGGAGTCGCATCCCAGCAGTGGCGAGTAGGAAGATGGGAGTATCCTTTATTTGATCGGCGGGGACAATCTTGCGAGCATGATCGAGGACTTCCGCAAGATGATCGGGGCCTACTGCCTCGGGTCTGTCTGCGAACGATGACACGCCTATGATAGTGTGACTGTCAGAGAGATGGATTCCGAAGGAAAAGTGCAGACATGTCCGCCGTTACAACTTACCAGGGTGTATCTTTTTCGTCCATTCCGATTTACTCTTGATCTCCGGTAATGTTTTCAGCTCATCACTTTTAGCGTGTTTGCGAGCGATAGCAGGGTCCAACCACCGATAGACGTGCACTCGAGTCCCCTATCTCAGTTGTTAGCAGGAAAGCGACGGCTTTTAACAATTAGACACTAACAGATGATCCTGCATCCAGGACGACACCATAATGCCCTAGTGTGCAACACGAAGGTTAGCTGCCGCTTCAACAGCGATAAACAAGGTAGGCTGAAAAGCGGAGTGGCGGCATACATTTGCCCATTGGAACGTGGAGCGAAAGCTGATACTATGATTATATATGAAGCATGACCACCAGATTGGCAACTTCTGAAAAGTGAACGTTGAAGAAGCGACAATACTCAGTTGAGAACAGGCGTCGAAGTGAAGCAATGCGATAGCATTCAACCGTAAGCTTCACCGGGGGAGTGCGATAAAGGATGAAGAAGGCGGGGAAACCTGGGGAGAGAAAATCAAGGCTTAGATGGATCAAACGAATGGCCTTGCTTAAGCAAG